AACGCCACCTCACGCTGGTCAATAGACAGAGGGCTGCCGCGGTCCGTGCGGTGTCAGTCAGCCGGGGCGAGCCACGCCGGTCCTCGATCGGTCAGCTCCTCCGGAGCGCACATAACGTGTCGGAGAACCAGCGAAAGCCCTCCACCGAACGCGCGCCGGCAGTATGTGTAAATCGGTGTGACCTAGCGTGACCTGGCGCTACATGACGTGCCCGGCGACCCGTCAGCATGGATTTTAGCGAACCGCTGACACTTTCCGGTGACGGGATTCAGGTGAAATTTTTCGACGCGAAATCGCTGCAGCATACCAGACAGTCACGCATGTCCCGAATCCAGCTGCTAATATCAAAATGACTCGGAATTTTCTAGCCACGCAGCGTGTCGCCGGCTGTTCTGGCCTCTCTGAGCCAGACCGCGTGGTGGGCGGTGCTTACTGTATAGTCGCGGAACACTCGGGGTGAGAACTCTCCTACCGCCACGCACTCGCCGTCTGTGAGAGAGCCGGGTAGCGGTGCGGCCACCAGCGGCGACGCTGGGGTCGTGACCTCCGGTCGGCCGCAGCGGCCGCGGTGTGGCTACTGTGCTGACCTGGTAATATGGGAGTCGACACCTGACACCGTCGTCTGACTGACCTGGCAGGGAACTCTAGTGACTGGTCAGGTACACGCGTTATTTTGGCCCTCAAGTGTTGGACCGAGCAAACTGCGCCATGGGTGAATGACACGAACTGCGTGTCACACAACACTGCAGGAAAAACGATAGATTGGGGACAAAAACCGGCACAAAAAGACGGAACCGTCTGAAAATGACAGCAAAGCATTGTAAATGCCTTTACCGGTGGGTGGTTTCCGCGTCCCGGGACCTCTGCTTGCCTGTTCAAGTGTTCAATTACCCCAGGCAGCTGTAAATCTATGTTCGTTGTGTTGTTGCCGCTGGTTGCTCCTGTCGTTCGGTCAACCGTAAATGTGTGTCGTTGAGCGCAAACAGATTGCATGCCACTTCAAAACGACAGTTCGGTGCGGAAAATTATGTTGACACGCTTCAACAAATAATGCTGTCGCCACCGTTCTGCCTATTGTTGCACCTGCACAGCCATTCGCCTCAGCTAACGGCTCTGGTTTTGCAGTCCGTAACTGAGGACGTTGACAGCAATAAGTGGAACACAAGCAGATTTTATCCGCCGACAACTTGCCTTTAGCTTCAAAGGAGGACGCTATTCAGCATGTGCTGAAACAAGCGTGATCGTTGGTCATTGGGGACAATAGTTCTTGCTCGCTTCTGGGACGTGAGCTCGTTTCAGTGTCTTCATCCTTCGCTTCTTTATATTTTTCTCCGTTGGTGGCATTAGAATCTAAATATATATGAGAGCTTTCTTCACCGGCATGCCCTTGAACTATGCCGCAGCTGTCTGCTGTAGTTTTATTCTGAGGCCTGTGTCCAGAGCCAGCTATCTTCTCATCAGGCGGCGCTGGCGGGGCCGCCCGCTCCGGAGATGGAGACAAAGTGCGCCACTTCTGGGTCATTAAATCGGCACCGGTCTGCCTCTGCGGACACTGTCCGATTGGGAGCACCGGACCGGCCGGTGACCGGAGCCGTCGGTCGGGCCTCTCTCCAGTCTCACCAACCTCCTGAGTAGAGAGGAATAAGTGCCGCGGTCTCTGCCGGAGCATCCTAGTAGAGACTGTCGCAGCGTCCGATCAGAGACTGCCATAGTGAGAAGAGAGGAGACTGCCGGAGCGTCCAAGTAGAGATTGCCGGAGCGTCCTAGTAGAGAGACTGCCGCAGCGTCCGAGTCTAACCTGCCGGGCCGTCCGCCGCCCGGGGCACGGTCTCTGAGGCCAGCGTCGCCTGACGACGGTAATTTAACCCTAGAACGCCTAGGGGGGGGGGGGTGTATCAACCCCCCCCCCCTGAGGTTTTTTCGAAGTGCACGCTAAACGGCTTGTCGTAGCAGGCTGAAATTTTCAATACCCTCTGGGGCAACCTTTGCGCATCTTTTGCCGAAAAAAATTGATCGGGTCATGTCAGGTCACGGAGTTATGACGTCATAAGAGGTACAGCCTCCGGCCGGATTTTCACGAAGTGTGTACCGAGTCCCGAGGTTTTCTGCTGATGCTATCCACATTGTTTGATGGATCGTCATGAAACTTCCCATGCATGTTGGGGCAAGTATTGGCCATCGTGTGGTGCAAGAAACTTGACCGGGTCAGGTCAGGTCACGGAGCTATGACGTCACAAGAGGAACAGCGTCCGGTACTATTTTTGAAAAGCGCCCGAACCACTATTTTGCTAATTCTTGTCACCTCAATGGGAATATGCAGCAATATTAGCTTCTATAGGGAGCAAATGGACCTCCGAAATCCAAAAATACAATCAGATTTCAAAAATTTAAATTTTGATTTTTCGAATTTCTGCCGCCGACTGTAACCTTGCCGACTTCCGGCGCTCCCAACGCGCCATTTTTAGAGCTAGGGAAACGAAATACATACCAAACGATAGAGAATTGATCAAGGAACACGATAGTGAAGGTTTCAAGTCGATATCTCCCACCGTTTTGCCGCAATCGCCGCGGAAAGTTGAAAAAAGTCTATTTTTCGGAAAATTTGACCTTTGACCGGTCATAAGTAGGTCAAATGTTGACCTAGGACCAAAAAATATACCACCAATCGCGAGATCTCGTTGAGAGCAATCCGTTGGTTTTTTCCGCTAAGCTCTACGACCTTCCGTTTCGAAACGCCAGGGGGGGGTCGTAACAACCCCCCCCCTGGTCGTTCGTGTTATGAGAAATGGCCTGGTCGTGCGAGGGTTAACAGCAAAAAGTCGGCCTCGCTGCCGCCGGCGGATTTGCTGCCTCTCTGTCTCGGAGCTCGGTGGCTCGGCCGACCAGTTGGCCAGTTGGTGGACGGGGTCCAGACAAAATTAGTGGCTCAGCCACCACTTATGGACACTGTCCGCGACTCGACATAGTGGCTCAGCTACCACTTATGGACACTGTCCGCGACTCGACATAGTGGCTCAGCTACCACTTACGGACACTGTCCGAGAGTCGACAAAATTAGAGAGCTGAAAGAGACCAGCTCGGACGCTGACCAGTCTCCTCTGCTGGCTGTGAGGGCTGGGCCGCTCGGTGCGATGACGCTGTTCCCCGGCCACCAGATCCGGTGGGCGCAGGCACGGTATTATGGAGCAAGCTAAAAAATGGCGAGATATTTCAGGATGATTGCTGGATGGCCACAGCTGCAGATATCAAGTCAGTTTGCGTGGAAGTGCGATCAAGATCCAGGACTTTGCTGCTCAGCCTATGTAAGCCGGCCTCTGCCTGTGTATGCTGCCAAAACAAGGGCGTAAACTAACCTGAAGTTTCTCTACCGAATATATCGCATGCGGCGGGCGCTGGCCGCTGACCCATATGGAACCTCCCAGTTCGTCCCTGACTGGGGCAGGCTGACTCATCTGATAGTCACTCGCCGGCAGCCTTTGCGAGAATCGGAGAAAGCATACCGCAAACAAAGTGTTGCGTGTGAGCGGGACATTATGACTTCCTCTTTCGCAGCATAGTTTGCCGCACCGTTTACCCAGTTAGCATTCATAATAAACTCGGCGTTGCATCGCCTGATGTTCAGTTGCATGTCTCGGTCTCACGGATGTCTTCCACTATAGGAATGGTGGCATTTCTCGAAGAGCTAGGCCGTTGTTGACTATGATCAATTTGAACGGAATATCTTGTTCTGCTCGCAATTTAATGTTTCAGCTTTACGATGTAATTCGTATTGCCACCATCCAGCACGTATTGTATTGCGTGTTGTATGGCCACCATCTAGCTCTACTGCTTTCCGTTTTCTATTCTCGCTTGCATAGATTTGCACAAATTTACTACGTTTTGGTGAGTCTAATTTAATACTATGCATTATGCAATTCGTTAGAAGAATCGTACACACATTGCGAGTCCCTCTTTGTTACCGTCGTTGCGTTTCCGTCGACCTCAGCTCTTTTCCAGCTTGTGTGCTAGATCCGCTTTGCCCGGGTCAAACACGGCCTGCGGTCTGGTATTTGTCGAACAGCTGGTGCACATTCAGCAGTCATGCTTTCTGCAACCGCCGCGGATTTAGACCAAATCAATTCACCCGAGTAGAAAAGAACCGAAACACATGCACGCACCCTCACCTGGCCGCGAAAACGGTTCTCACGCTCAACTTCCGTTTGTGGTTATCTAGGCTAATATCGTGAGGCTGAGAGTGCGTTAATAATGCTCCATAATTCGTCTTCACACAGTTGAGCCGTCAGTGGTCGCCGTTCTGAGCGCTCCTATTACCACCGCTGGTTTTTGCCGAGCTCATCAGGCGGACGTCGGCTCCCAGCGCGGCGGAGTCTCCAAATGGGCAAATGGCTTCCCGTGATGGACCACCCGGTCCCGGGCCTGGCGGCCGCTCCCACCGGTCCAGCCGGGCGGGGTGGGGTGGTGTCTGTACCGGGACTGACAGCAGACCAGGAGTTACCACCGCAGCTGGCCAGACCACTGACCAGGCGCGGCCGGAAGGGCGTGTGAGCCGCCGTCGCCGCAGCCTCCCAATCGGTCCATTTGTTGACACTTTATGGACGGAGCTCGGCGGTAGAGGAAGTGGTGGTGGCAGCGGTGGCGTCTGTGGTTCCCCGGCTATACGCTCTGCTCATCGCTGGTGGTGCGGCTGACCACAGCGGTTTAGGTCTGAGGCATTTTCTCCCAGCTCTGCCGGCTGTGTTGAACACCGGCTGAACAGACGTCTGTGCTTTATGATTTTCATTGTACGGTGTGGCTAGGTGCGCTCATGCATAGCAGTGACCTTGATGGCCATCGCAACTGCATGTTAGTATTTCATATGTTCTTTCTTGCAATAGCACTGCAATTTCATCTGTAAGTGCTGCAATCCTGCATTGTCACATCCCCCTGTTGCGTCCCTGGCCATTGTCGGTATCCGCTTATCTATATCTGTGTGTAACCGGACTGTATCTCTGTGTCGGCAGGTGTAACCAGTCCGCGACTGTGAGCAGACCTCGGCGTGCTATGCGGTCCAGCCGCCTCTCACCGCACGTCTGACCGTCTTTCCTGCCCCACCATGACTCTGAAGCTGGTGCGGACGGCTCCGGCCCGGATCGAGCGGCGGCGCGTACCCGGCCCTCCGGCGGCCGTTTGTGTGCCCCTGCTCTGCCTGCTGGCGCTCAGCTCGCTGGCAGTGATGGTCACCCTCAGTCGGCATCAGGAGGGCCCGGCCGCGCCGCCGCCGCCGCCGCTGCCGGCCGGCCGCAGCCGCCTCTACCCCCGCAACGGCTCGCTGCCCGGGCTGGGGACGTTCCACTACGTCATCAACACAGACGCATGCACCGCGGACGAGGAGGTGACCATGCTGATCGTGGTGACCTCTCACGAGGGTAACCAGCGGCTGCGGTCGGCCTGGCGACGTCTGCTGCCTACCGAGGAGCTGGGGAGACTCGGCGCGCGGCGTGTGTTCCTGCTCGGCCGGCCGTCTCAGCAGGAGGGCTACACGAGCGTCAACGAGAGTCTGGTGGAGTTGGAGAGCAGCCAGCACGGTGACATCGTGCAGGGAGACTTCAGCGAGAGCTACCGAAACCTGACGCTCAAGCACCTGATGGGCCTGCGCTGGGCGGCCGACTACTGTCCGCAGGCGCGCTATGTGGTCAAAATGGACGATGATATCGCCGTGGATGTGTATCAGCTGCACGATAAACTAACCGAGCGCTATGCGCCGCGCGACCTGCTGCTCGGTCTCATTCACTACGACATGCAGCCAGTGCGCGACCCGGCCAGCAAGTGGTACGTGCCGACGGCCGAGTACCCGGGAGAGTTCTACCGGCCGTTCCTCTCCGGGTGGATGTACGTCGTCTCCCAGGATGTGATCACTCGCCTACTGGCCGCCGCTGAGCGCCGAACAAACTTCTGGATCGACGATGTGCATGTGACGGGCACGCTGGCGAGTGATGCGGGTGTGAGGCTGAGCAGTCTCAACGCGTACTACACACCTCACGCGACGCATCTCGAGTGTTGCGCTCGTACGGAGGACCTCCTGTGTGACTACCTGGTGGGTCCGGCCGGTGGTGACGAGGCGCTGTTGTCGGACTTTCTGAGCCAGGCGCGCGGCTGCTGGCGGGCCGGCTGTATGCGCAGGAAGCCGGAGGTGTCTGTGGCTCGGACCTGTGTGGGCACGGACAAGTACCGGCACCGAGAGCTGGGCCAAGGCACGGCAGAGGTGGTGGCCGTGAGCTGGGGTGCCAGCTGACCGCTGGGTGGACGGCGGAGGGGCAGGGGCGGGGGACAGTGCGTGGTGAGAGGAGAACTCAGTGGGTGAGTGGACTGCAGGACTGAGCTCTGAGCGGCGATGGCCGTGGCGTGAATTAGTGAAGAACTGGTGAAAGACGTCAGTCAGAAGAATCAGTAAGATCGTGATCGGTGGCTGATGCAGGCAGCAGAGTGGCTTATATTCAGCTACAGTGCTACACCTTTGACTCGTCGCTTCTACGCACGGCTCGTTTTGCTGATGGATTGCTGACTACCAGGGATGGTTCAAGATTGCCATATGCACATCAGCTCTTTCATTGTGATCATAGGGTTATGTCGCTTATTAATATTATTTGCAAATTATCATGATCATTTAACTGCAGCTGTATATTACTTACTCGACTCTTGTAGATATTACGTTTATTCGGGCAGTGGGCCGCCTGTGCCGCCCTCTATGCTCGCACTGTGTTTCGCCGTTTCTCCGTCGGGTGATCGCACCATGGTTCGCTGTAACCGCCCGAGCTCGTGTTGGCGGCTCTCATGTGATTGGCGTCTAGTCGGACGGGATCTGGCGCGTCTGTGTTCGTTTGCCATTGGCTTATGGCCGAAATAAGACGCCAATACACGTTCTCTACGTTCTACCTAATGTATTTTTGAATAATGGTGAATAGGGACAAGTGGGTAGGTAATGGTATACGGCAAAGGAAAAACTAAATTGGGTTCGCTGCAGATACAGGTACTACCTATACGGCGAAATGTACGCGGCATTTCACTGCAAAGTGTATAAAAAAGTGCAAAAGATATGTGAGAGTTCAATAACGGCATGCCTTTACCTCAGCGTTCGACGCTCACGCTAGCAAGGCGACGCTAGGCCCTAGAGGGCCCGGCTGGTGCCAGCGCACCTGAACCTGAGCGCCATCTGTGAACGGTGTAAGCTCACGTCTGTCGTTCAGCCGCCAGATGGCAGACGGCAGCAGGCTCGAACAGGCCATCCAGGGCTGTGTGTTGACTGGAAGCAGCCCAGTCGACGTGGTAACTGTACCTCACCGATCTCTATACTGCGGTCGATCACGGTTGTGAGTTCTCGTTTGCATTTTTGTTTTATTCTTATATGTCCTACCGGTCTAATAAATCCATTGCAGTACTCCAGGATGATATATTCAGTAGGAAGGAGGAACATTGGGGTGACTGAACCACCGACTTGTGTGCCGTAAAGTGGCTGATCTCATCCAGCTGAGATGGGAGTGTCCCGATGGGATGGGCCCGTCCAGACACTCAAACGGTCACCTCGAAGTGGTGTGTGGTGTGTGTTCTTGTTGAGGTTGTCCTAACAATCGGCTGTCTAATTCGACGTTTTTTTTTTTTATTCGACGTTTGTCTGATTCGACGGTTTTTCATTCGACGGTTGGCTGATTCGACATTTGTCTTTATATCCATGGATTCGACGCTTCTGGACTTGACAAATGCAATAGTATCGAGGCTTTCTTCTCTGCGACACTCAACCTTTGAGTTTTTGCCTAAGCTTAAAGGCCACCGGTTGATCTGAAACTAAAAAAAATCCAATAGACAATTACTTCGTCTTCGACATGGAGCGGCTCAGCCTCATATGATTATGATCAGCACCATTTTGTCCGCATATAGCTCTAAGTAGATCAAAAATATACGGACGAAACGACGAAGGGACCGTAGTGCCCTACTATTATAATGAAAAGCAATGGAGTTTGTTCGAAATGGATCGCATTTGAAAAGAACGCCGCGGCACCGTTTGCTGTTGGTGCATATAAACAGGCCGGTCAAGAAGAAAAACACTACACACTCCACCTCTACTTGACTGTCGTCTATTGACGAATGAAGAATCAAGTAAAAACACACATGCAAATGAGAAGAGGAACAAAAGTCACCCAAGCTGTACGCAGCAGCCAGGAAGGATTGAGTATCCACCCTCCGGCTCCCAGCCCATGGTCGTTATTTATGAGCTCTGGGTTCAAGAGCGAGGTTCGATGACCACCTACTCTCGGCGGCTCGTGTGGCAGGCAGGTATAATCGCCATTCACCAAGGTCACGGGCGCAGACGGTGAACGGCTCACAACAGCTGTTCGCCGAAAAGATTGATTGGCTCGGTTTCCCGAGAACGTTGAACCCGGGCAGGCACTTCGCACGTCGAAACGGATGGGGTAGTTTTCCAGCAGCCAGTCACGGAAGTGCGAATCCAATCCATGTGACGAACAGATAGAGCTACCTGCCACCACGGAGCTATCAAATTTGGCCCTTCCCTGGTTACGGAGCGAGCGAAGCGAGCGAAGTCTTTCCTTAGATTAACGGAAATTTCTGAGTATGAGCGGCCGGCCGGCCGGCCGGCCGGCCGGCCGGCCGTGCGGACGCTTTTGCGAGGCTTATATCTCAGCAACCACTTGACCGATTTACACGCGGTAATTTTTGTAGGGTAGCTTCATTCCTTCTACCAAGTGTTGGACTATTCCCGATGCATATAGGTGACCCCTTATGCACGTGCCACGTGCAAAACGAAGAGGTGTCAGTTTTGTAATTGTTGCAATATCTCGGTAACTACTTGGCCGATTGCGCTGAAAGTTGGCATGTAGGTAGGCACCCACTAGGCACTGCATATCCATGTGCCAGAATTGGGGTGCTGCTGCACGTGCGCACGTGCAGGGGTCGTTTCCAGATCTCGAGAACGGCTGGACCGATGGCGCTCAAATTTGGTACACGGTTAGGGACCAGTTAGTAGGGTGCCGTGCACAAGTCACTTGGGACCCATTTTGCACGTGCGCACGTGCAGGGTGCCGCTCCCAGATCTCGAGAACGGCTGGGCCGATTGTGCTCAAATTTGGCACATCGCTAGAAACCGGTCAGTAGGGTGCCGTGCACAAGTCAGTTGGAGGTACCCCCTCGAAATTTCGCACGTGCAAGACTCACCCCCTCGCTCGCTCCGTTAGTCGCCCCAAAAGGCGCTATACTGGTTTAGCGTCTTTATGAGTATTCTGAGGAAGGGGCCTTTTTTGAACAGGAAGGCACCATAGCACATTTTCCTATGGCTGTGACATAAAGGCATCTCATACTAATTATTTTGATGAAAGGCAACTGAAGGGCAAGTTGGAACGCTGGAGACTGCAATCGGGCACATAAACGTAACTGGAAGGTTAAATGCACGGACATTTTTCAATTAACCTTCCAGGCGGTGGGGGGGGGGGCATTTTTTTGCCCCCCCCCCTTTTAGTTTTTTCGATATATCTCGAGAACCACTGCGCCGATCGTCACCAAACTTTCAGTACCCTCCCGGGAGCAGCTAGCGCACATGGTGACCAAAAATTTTTCCAAAGGCTATGATAGGTTGGCCGCTAATGACGTCAGAGTGACGTCATTTTTGCCATTTTCGACCCAAAAAAAGGTTTCGCGGGAAGAGCTGTCAGGCCTACAGCTTTAGAGATACAGAAAAATGTTCTAGATATAAAAGGTGTGGAATCAAAAGGGCTACAAAACTGCAATTTCGGTTTTTCGAATTTTTTGGATTTTAACCCCTAAAAATCAAAAAATAGATTTTTTGAATACAATAGCCAAAAAATCCAAAAAGTTTTTTGAATTTCGAAAAACCGGAATATATGTGATAGTCCCTACCGTCTTCTATCTACATACCAAATTTGAGATCGATACCTCTTTTTTTGGCCAAGTTATAGCGAAAAAACTGTTCAAAATTGATAACGTCAAATTTTCAAACTCAATTTTTAGCAATTCCAGACCTCGTAGCGCAAAACAAAGACCACCATTAGACTCCCCGTGACGATCTGCATCGAATCAATGCCCATTTTATGCAAAAATATCAACTTTGAAATTTGACCTTTTTTGACCTGACCTTGACCTGACCTCCACCAGAAAGTGACCTCAACCGTACCTGATGGTCTTATAACCAACACCATTGAGTTGGAAATGAAAAACTGGCCATAAAACATGCATCACATAACCTTAGTAAAGTTGGGCTCATGTGGTGACCCTTGGTGACCTTTGGTGACCTGACCTGTGACCTGACCTGGTATGACCAGTGACCTCTAATAGCAACATATGTACTAGACAACTGACGCCTTATCGCTGATTTTCGACAAAATGCGTTTTACTCGATGTTATAGCGCTTTCCCTAGAAGCCCCGTGAACGGTGAAACATTTTATCTTTGACCTGACCTGTGACGTCATCGGTGACCCCGAGGTCAATGAAATTTAGTTTCTTTCGACAAATTTGACAGGGCTATCGAACGCCGTTTGAATTTTTCGGATCCGTCCAGTAGTTTCGGAGATACGGGGGGGGGGCAAAAAAATGCCCCCCCCACCGCGCGGAAGGTGGCTGGTAGGCCCACCGCCTGCCGGGTTAAAGACGGTGGGTGTATGTATGTAACCTTTTAACCCGCGCGTGACTGGGGTATTCTCCATAACGCGATTTGCTGAGGGTGGGGGGCTCTCCAGAGCCCCCTCCTATCTCCGAAACTACTGGGCCGATCGTCAAAATTCAAACGGCGTCTGATAGCCCTGGAAAAACTGTTGAGCGGCGAAACCTATTTTTATTGACCTCGAGGTCACCGATGACGTCACAGCCCATAGGTCAGGTCAAATTCAAAATTATGAGTATTTTTGCTTGTTCACAATTTAGGCTCTGACCGCCGGCTGACAAGTCCGATCAGACTCATTTTGTTTTACGCACTCTTTGATATAGCAGCCTTAGATACCCTGAGGGTACCGAACTTTTACTTCGAATTTTTCAGGTCAAGGCCAGGTCATCCTAGGTCACGAAAATTGTATATCATGTATCGGTCACGCGACGCATGATTTATGGTCCATTTTACTGGTAGATTTCGAGAAATTGTCGTCTGTGTCATTTGAGGTCATTTTCAGCTGAATTTACCGGAGGTCAGGTCACTTTCAGGTCAGAAAAGGTCAAATTTTGAAAATGAATTTTTTTCAACAAAAAAAGGTGCCTATCAGATGCAGTTTGAGCTCAGGAGCACGATGGTGCCATTTATGTTGCCTTGCGATGTTAAAAACGTACTGGAAAATGTCTTTGAAAAATACATAATTGTAAAATTTTGACAGTAATGCAAATAACATGGCTATTTTTTAACCCTCGCCCGCACATGCCATTTTCCCATCCTAGAACGCACATGGGGGGGGGGTGGTTGCCACCCCCCCCCCCCGCGCCATTTCGTTCCTGTTGGAGATAGAGCTTAGCAGTAAAGACCAAAAAGATTCTTTGGGAAGAGACGAATCCAATGATACCCAGTTTTACCTTCTCAGGTCAGTCATTGACCTTCCAGGTCAGGTCAAACTAAAAAATGTTGCTGTTTTGGGTCACCGTTGGATATCAAGTGTGCTGCTTATCAAATACCGATGACGATGCTGTTTTCTGGTGCCAAGCCAGCTAGAACCTCTTTGTCACACTACCCGACCAGAACTTTGCTGCTGAGGTCATTTCAGGTCAAGTTAGGTCAAGGTCAATTATATGTGTTTGTATGTCTGTGTGTGTCTGTGTGTATACTGATGTGTGCACCGATTGTTTTTGGGTCCATATTACATGAAATCATGATCTGAGAAGCTTTTACCAAAAATGCAGTCAAAAAACTTCAAAAAAAGTAAATTCAGC